GGGGGGGGCGAGGGGAGACCCCGGGTCAGGGGGAGCCACGCACGACTGACTCAGGGCCGGGCACCGAGAAGCAGAATGAGCCCCTGGCCCTGAGGAGAGAGGGGACCCCAGTGGCCACTGTGACATCCGGAAAGGCCGGGGAGAGTGCCAATGACGAGGGTGGCCGGGTCTGGTTCTGCTGCCTGTCCCTCCCCCGGGGGTCCCCCCCCCACCTCTGAATGTGGACCTCCACGGCCATGCCGCTGTCTCCGCCACCTGGCACGTGCTCCACCCGCACGATGGTGTCCAGGAAGGTCACCTTGATTCTCCGAAGCACTGGGGTGAGAGAGGCCAGCGTCAGGCCCGACCGAGCTCCGGGCAGACGGGGCCCACCATGGCCTGGACACCCCGCCAGGCCCTGACGCTGAGGGGAGGGATGACGACGGCGGGGAGAGCCCCGGGGGCGGGAGCAAGGCCGGAGGGAGGAAAGGCCTCGAGACTGGGCCAGGCCACTCACCAGTCTCGATGGTCTGGGCGAACATCTCCAGGCCCTCCAGGGGCTGGGGGGGCTCGGAGGGCTCGGGGGGCCCCTCCCGAAGGCACTCCTGGGCGAGCTGCAGGCTGGTGGTCATGCAGGAGGTCCAGCTCTGGGACTCGGCCGTCCCAGGCACTGCAGGAAGCAGGGGTCAGCGCTGGGAGCTCCCAGAACCCACACCGCCCAGGCCCCCTCTCCCGCTCCTCCCGGGGCGGCGGTCCCGGCCTCACCTTGCCCGCTCCGCGGCCGCAGAGTGAGCTGCAGGCCAGACACCTGCATGGTGCAGTGGTCAGTGAGGAGGGCGGCCCAGGGTACGACCACCTCAATGGAGCCCACGAAGCCATCGACCAGCTCCAGGGGGGACTCCACGGACTCCAGCAGCTCGTTCACAGACTAGGAGCAAAGGCACGTGGGGGGTCAGGGAGCGAGGTCACTGGACGTGGCACCTATCAGGGTGTCAGTGTCCCTGAGGTCACCCCAGGCTCGACACGGCCCGACGAGCGGAGAGCTTCACTCAGGGTGACCCCAGGGCGGGGCCTGACTTCCTAGGGCCTCATCTGTAAAACGGGGATAAAAATGCCAGCAGTAACAACCGCTACAGGCACAAGGTGGCACCACAGCACTCCAGCCTGGAATAGGGAAGATCTGAGGCCAAATCTGCCCTCAGACAGTTCCTGGTGGTGTGACCCTGGGCAAGTCACTTCACCCTGTTTGCCTCAGTTTCCTCATCAGCAAAATGATGAAACCTCTCCAGTATCTCTGCCAAGAAAACCCCAAACCAGGTCACAGAGAGACCGAACAACAATTAGTCTGCAATAGACCTAACAAAAAGTCTCATCAGGACCTCACAACCTGGTGAGTGAGGTACACACTATTATTATTCCCACTTAACAGATGAGGAAACTGAGGCCCAAAGAGAGAGACCTGCCACGGTCACAAAGGTGAGGTCAATGGCAGAGCCAGCATTACTGACTGTGTCCCCTAAGGCCCTTCGGGCAGCCCCTGGGTGGGCATGTACCCTCTGCCCTGGTCGCTCCCTCTTCCCTCTGATCACCACCGCCCCTTCCCAGGCCTCAGGAGGCAGCACCCACCCAGTAACAATTCCCCCCCTGACTTGGGGGGCTTATGGCCCACTCTGGCCCTTCCTCTTCCCTCCCCTGGCAGGAAGGTCCTCGGCACAGGCCTCCAGGCTGCCTCCCAGGGACACCTTCTATGGCTCTCATCCCCCCCAGAAATGGATGCAATTCCTGGCCTGGGAAGCCCCAGCCAGCGAGCCAGGGTCCCAGGGGAGCCCCAGCCAGCGAGCCAGGGTCCCAGGGGAGCCCCAACTCTTGTTTTCTTGGGCTCTGGAGGAGGGGAGGAGGTGTGGTCCATGGGCCTAAGGCTATTCCCAGACTGCCCAATCACAGAGGAGGGGCGGGCATGAGACCAGCCCAGCTGCTGAGGTCACAGGTCAGACACAGAAATCTCCCTCCCCTCCAGAGGTGGGGGCTGGGGTTGCCTGGCCCCCAAGCGCCTCCACCCTGATTCCCAGCCCCTCTCCTCACTCAGTCTGCCCCTTTTCTCCCAGGGCACCCCTCCTTCAGCCCCCCAGTCCCCGGGGCTCTGTCCACTTTCCCTAAGTCTGCCCCTTCTGGGCCAGTTTCCCATGATCCTTCAGAGCCCCCAAACCCACTGCCAACCCCCCCCCCCCAAGCTCCTACACTCTACTCCAGCTCTTCTCCCCATGGGACCCTGCCAGGGACCCCCACTTTGACTCAGTTTCCCAGTCCTGGAAGAGCTCAGGAATCCAAAGACCTGGGCTTTGGGCCCGGGTCAAGGGAAGAAGCCCACGCTGTGGGTGTGGGTCTGAAGAAGACTAATTTGTGCTTCCTTCTATGAGTGCTGGGTCAGCTGAGCCGTGAATCACCCTGTCCAGCACCTGAGCCCCATCCCCATCCTGTGCTCCCCAGGCCCCCCAAGCCCCTGAGGGTCCTGGCTCTGCACTCTGCCCTTCCCTCTGACCAGGCTCCTCCCCCGGGCTCCTCTACTAGAGTCAGGGCCCCAGGAGGCCCCTGCCCCCAGCCCCAGCCCGGCCCCTGCCTGGGCCGGAAGTGACAATTGTTGCCAAACAGTCCCATGGCATGTAGATCAACACACAGGACTGACGTGGGCTGTTGTTGACATCAGGGACATCAGACAAGTGGGTGGCCCAGGCCTGGGGTGCCCCCCACCCCGTGACAGGCCTCCCCAGCCCCCAGGCACCCCGTCCTGGTGAGCCCCCCAACTCTGAGCCTGTGGGGAAAGGGGCTACCTGGATCCCCCCCAGACCACTGCCTGTCCTACGCGGGTTTGAAGGCCCCCTCCCCAGCTCTCTGCACCAAGACCCCTCTCCCCCAAATTCTAATGGAGAGGGGCAGTTGGATTTGGGGGGCTGTCCTCAGTTCCGTGACACTTCTTGGACACTCCCCTTCCTCCTTCAGCCCCGAGGCCCCTCTCCCCTTAGCCCCGTAATTGGGGGGAGTGTCTTCCCCCTCGGGGGTGGGGGCCGCCTCCTCCAGCTGCCTCCTCCCCCGCCAGGCTGATGGGGGAGCCTGGGCCGCGGCCCCGAGGACGCTGTCTCTGCCCGGCCTCGCTTTGTCCCATCCGTGCAATGGGGGCCCTGCCGAGGCCTGGGCTCCCTGGCCTCCCCGGCCCCTCCGGTCGCCCCAGCCCCGGCCGCTCACCCACACGTCCAGGTGGATGTCCCGCAGCCCGCCGCTGCCCTGGTACAGGTCCAGGCTGAGCTGCTCCAGGCTCAGCCGCTCCTGCAGGAAGTGGCCCAGGTAGTGCTGCAGCAGGTAGCGGCAGGCCCGCTTCTTCATGCAGCTCGACCACGGCCACAGCCAGCGCGACATGGCCGGGATCCACCCGCCTGCGCTCGCCGCCGGCCGCGCCGTTCACTCGAGCTCCCGGCTCGGCCCGCCGCTCAACCCGGCGCCAGGCCACGCCCTCGCCTCGCCGCCATTGGTCGGACAGGAGAGCGAAGCCCACTGATTGGTCGCGGGGGCGGGGCGCCGGAAAGAGCCCCGGCTTCTCGCGGAGCCACATAGGTCTCGTGATGAGAGACTGCGCCTGCGCCCGGGAGATTTGACCTCCTCGAAGTGGAGCGCAGGGGGACGCGTGATGGCGACGCTCGAGAAATAAGTCCCGAAGCGTAGTGCGCATGTGCTTCCCCGCCCCGCCTCCCAGCTTCTGGGTCACGAATTAAAGGGACAGTGTCTGATCAATTACGTCTCTGGAGCTGGAAGGGACCGTAGCCCCAGCGTCGTGTCCCACCCCCTCGTTTTTATAGGTGGAGAAACTGAGGCTTGGGAAGAGGAAAGAAGGACTTCGTCGCGGTCACTCTAGTAATGAGGGGCAGGCCTGGGACTTGAGCCTGGCCCTCTGACCCCACCACCCCAGGAAACTTTGTGGGACCATCCCAGAGCAGAGGACCGGGGGGTCGGGGGTCCGAGGAAAGACCCTCCTGGGGGGGCAGGGGGCGCCTCCTGCCTAGTACGTGGGGCTAAACTGGAAGGATTGCCAGGGCCAAGTGGGGGAGGGGGCGCGGCGGGACATTGAAGGCCCGGGAAAGAACTTGGCCTTGGACGGTCCGGGAGCCGGAGGGAGGGGAGGGTAAGGGCGTGACCTGGGATTAGACCTCTGTTAGGGCTGGTGTTCACCGCTCTGGGTGGGTGTGGGTGTGACGGGATTGGCTTGGGCAGGGTCCTTCTCCCTCCCAGGCCCCCCCCATCTCCTGACCAGAAAGACCTGCCCTGCCCTCCAGGAGCTTCCATTTGGGAGAACTAGGAGGGATTGGGCCACACTCCAGCAGACCAGGCAGCGACAAAGGCTTGGAGGTGGTAGATGGCCCATCCTGTGTGTGTCCAGTGTGGCAGGAGCGCAGCGTTTGGGATCGTGTGAGAAGACTGCCGAGGTCACAGGGGCTTGGGCTGCCTCGAGCCTTTGTGTCTGATCTCGGAGTTACTCAGGGGTTCAGGGGTTCCCCATCTTGGTCTCCCTTGTGCTTTTGGTGCCTATGGGACATCTGGCTCCAAACGTCCCCTGGGCAGCGGGAGGTCAGGAGAGAGCCAGGGGTGGGGTCAACATAGAGATGGCCATTGGAACTCATGGGAGCTGATGAAATCACAGAGTGAGGGACTAGGGGGGCAGAAGAGAAGAGGGCCAAGGACACACCCTTTGGGGGCACCCACAGTTAGGGAAGGTAATAAGAGCCCCCAGAGGTGGGAAGAAAACAGGGAGACTGGACAGTGTCACAAAAACCAGGCCCAGGAGAATGTGGGGAGGGGGGCAGCACCAAAGGTGGGACCTACTAAGCGACCCAGGCTATGAGCCTAGTCAGACTAGAAGGAAAAGCTGAGCCAGTAATGGCCATTTGAGAACTTGACCATTATCATCTCCTTTGACCCCTTTGCCAGCCTTGGGAGGCAGGTGCTGTTATTATTTCCATCTTAGCGTTGAGGAAACTGAGGCACACAAGTTAAGTGACTTGTCCAAGGTCACACAGCTAGTCCATGGTCTGAGGCAGAATTGGAGGTCCAGGGCACCCTTCGATGCCCCCTTGTAGAGGCTGCAGCCTGATGGGCTGAGGCTGGCCTTTCACCAATGTTGTGAGCTGGGTGCTTGCCCACATCTGTGAAGATGATACCCAGGCAAAACTGGTGTTGGGGCCAAAGTGGGGTGGTAGGATTGAGCCCAGAGCCTGGGGCCTGGGCCAGGGTTCAAATGCTTTTGAATAAGAGAACAGTAATGCTAGTGTAAGAACATAATTCTAAAACAAGACAGTACTTTGAGACCATCTCTTCCAAGGGATCTTAGCCTGGCATCTATAAGATTTTTAAAAAACCCCAACTATTTAAATATAGTTAGTTTCTGTTGTGTCCCTGTGTCTTTTATGTTATGCATTTAAAGACCTGGTTCTGACAGCAGGGTTTGCCCCAGCTGTCCCAGAGGTCTAAGAAACATGCCAAAGGGTGAAGAATCCCTTATCTGGTCAGACTGCTTCATTTTGCAGATGAGGAAACTGAGGCCCAGAGAGTTGCCTCAGGCCACCCAATCAGTGGATTAGTAGAAGAGCAAGATGAGAACCCAGGAGAAGTAGTTCCTTTAAATAGATGTTTATTGAGTGAAACAATAGTGGTACTCTGGGAAGATATGGACTGGGTGTGAGGGACGGAGGCTGGGGCCCTGAGGGAGCCAGGAGAGATGGCCCAGGGTGCATTCCCTTTTTTTTCATCTGAGAATCTCCCCTTCCTCATTTCAGCCTCCCTTTCCGGGGTCGGGCAGTGTGACCATGTCCTGAGGAAGCAGAATCCCAGGAGATTGGAGCCAGCGGGACCCACAAGGGCATCTGATCATTTCATTAACATCCCTGCTGAGGCCCGTGCTCCAAAGAGACGCCCCAGAGGTGCCTCGGCCGGGCAGTGAGGGGGCCTGGGACTCCTACCAGGCCTCAGGATCCAGAGGGTCATGGATATAACATGGGCTGTCTGTGCAACGCTAGCTCATGTATGAAAACCCGTTTCTCATACTTAGTCACAGCCCTTCCTAACCAGGATGGAGGTTTTGAGTTAATGAATGAATGAGTGAATGAATAAATGTGTAATAAGAGGCCTGAGGCATCTGATGTTACTCAGGCTTGACCCCAGTTGGGAGAAGTCCACTTGTGAGCTCCCCCTGGAGACCTAGAGTAGGGAAGAAGGAAGGGCCCGGAGCAGGGCGATTTTGAATTCAGGCAGGGGCCTGGCCGAGGTCATAGAGAGAGGAAGGGGCCAAGCCAGCGCCTGAACTCAGGTCTTCTCCTTCTGCCACGAGGGAGCCTCATCCCCTCCCTGCCCTGGGCTGGGGTCACTTCTTCCCAGGGATGTCAGAGCTTGGTCTGGAGGGGCAGGGTCCCCTGCCATGGCTTTCTCAGCAGTCTGCTCCAGCATCTCCGGACCCTGGGGGTGGGAGGAAAGTGTCGCCCTTGTTCTAGGCTTAGTCCCCTCCCTTTTGCCCCTTCAGGGAGCTCTGGAGACCGGGGCAGAAGAGGTCAGCAGAGCTTGTGTGTATGAGTAGGTGGTGTAGGGGTGACTAAGCCTGGGCAGGATGTACCCAGACCACTTCAGGCTCCAGGGGTGGGGAACCATGGAGGGGGTACACAGCGTTAGAGGAGAGGACAAAGGAGGAAACCCCTGGGAAGGTCCCAAGGGACAAGATCTCCTCCAGGGAAGGCCGGAGGTCACCTACTGGCTCTGGGCTTGTTCCAAGGTGTCAGGCAGGGGCAGACCCCGTGTCTCGGGCAGGAAGACAACCAGGATGCCGGCCGCCAGAACGGTGGTACCAAAGAGCATGGGCGGCAGGAGGGGGAGCATTGGGCCTGCCAGCAGGACCAGTGGGGCCACCATACCTCCCAGGTAGCCCACCATGTTGCTGACCCCCATCCCAGTCATCCTGCAAAGCAGCAGAAAGGGCGGGGGTCAGGGCGCAGGCTCAGACACGCTCACACCCATAAATCCACGTGTTCATCGGAGAATTCCTGACACGTAGGTCCCAGGATTTAGAGCACAAAGACCCTTGGAGTCATCTCTCAGGGAGAAAAGACCATGTCAGGGTCACACAGCTCAGAGTAGCCAAGCCATGACCTGGGTCTAGATCTCAGTGTGTCCTGCTCACACAGGAAGTGCTTAATAAAGTTTTGCTTGGCAGAGCCCTCTGGCCCTTTCCACCCCTGCCAAGGCTCCAGAGGACTTCAGGCGTGCTTAGGGTTAGGGTTAGGGTTAGGAGGAGGGCCCGGAACTCACCGGAGGGAGGTCGGGAAGACCTCAGTGGCCACGAGGATGTTGCAGCTGAGGGAGGCTGACATGAAGCCCTTGGACAGCACACACAGCCCCATCCGAAGGCGGCCCAGCTCTGCGGACACAAGGGTGGAGGCCGGAATCAAGCCAGACCAGGGGGCTTGAGGGATGGTGACCCAGGGCACAGCAGGGATTTGGGGGGAACAGGGGAAAGGATGGGGAAGTAGCCGAGCTCAGGGATGAAGCGGTCCAAGCTGGCGGGGGGGGGGGGGCTTGGCACCTAGACCGTCTGAGCCAGGAGAGTTTCCCTTAGGGACCTCCTTATAGAGAGGAGGAAGCTGGGACAGCGCCGGAGGACGTGTCCTAACTGGGACTAGAGGCCAGGCCCTGGGATCCTCCCAGGCATCACTGGGCTACCTCTCAAGGGCTTTCCCACCAAAGCTGTCCCAGGTGGAGGCTGAGGAGCTGAGGGTCAAGGGCAGCCCTTCCTCCTCTGCAGGAGGCGTCTGGCCCAGCCCACCCGTACCCACCGTGGGGCACTGGGATGGCCCCCAGAAAGAGTCCCGTTCCGAGCATCATGCAGGAGGACAGGGTAAGCTTGCGCCCCAGGCAGTTGGCCAGCTTGGGCACCATGAGGCGAAAGGGCAGATCTATGCTCCCCAGGACAATCTGAACCAAGTAGGGATCTTCCCCAGGGAAACGTTGCAGATCCAGGGCCAGGGAGTAGAAGGCAGAGGCGACAGAGAACCTGGCGGGGAGAGGGGAGAAAGGGACAGGAAGGTGGGGGATTAACCCCCAAGGCCCCTGTCACTGACTGTGCCATATTGGTTATTACTGCCTGGAGCTCCATCTTCCTCAGTGGCAAAAGAGAGAGCCAGAATAGATGGCCTGCTATGTTCCGTGTTCTGTGTTCCAGGCTTCCTCCTACCTCTGACGTTCTCCATCCTCTGTTCCACGGTCCCTTCTATCTTTTTTCTACGTTCTGTGTTCCAAGGTCTCTCCTAGTTCGAGTATTTTGTGTTCTATGATCTGAGGTCTCTCCTAGTTCTGATGTTCCGTGTGTCCAGGTTCCTTCTCTCTCTGATGTTTTATGCTCTAAGGGTCCCTCCTAGCCCTGACCTTCAGTGCTCCAGGGTTCTTTCTACCTCTCATATTCTGTGCCCCACAAAAAGCAGTATTTATAAAACATGAATGTTTTACAAAAAGACCAGCCTTGAGGCCCCTCTAAGAAGCAGGTCCCCTAAAATAAGCACATAGTAGGTGCTCCAGCAATGCTTGCCACATCAGTAGAAGCCCCTTACGAAGGCTTGGATTTGCTCACACCAGGGATCCCCACGAACTTAGATCCATAAAAGGTGTGTCCACTTGTGACTCCCCATCCCCCCGTCTCAATCCCATGCATTCAATCAAAAAAAAAAAAAAGCAAGGATTGACCCCTTTCTCCCTTTTCTCCAGAGCACTTGGCCAGAGGACGTGCTGTTTGATAAATGTTTGGAATTCCAGCAACCTGACTGGAAATCCAGCCCAGCCTTATAACTTTGCAGATGAAGACGCACCCACCCACTTTAGTGACCTTGGGTGAGTCCCTAGGCCTCAGTTTTCCTCATCTGTAAAATGAGTGTTGGGCCAGATGACTTCTGAGGTTCCTTCTGGATCTAGAACTAAGATCCTGGGGAGAGGAGAGATGAGCCTGCACTCCACCCCACCCCCCCCCCCCCCCCCCCCGGGTCTTCCTTCTGTCTTTGCCATATGGGTCTCTCATTCACTTTCTGTTCCCCCACCCCCATCCAAAACTTTCCTGGCTTCTCTCTGTCTCCTTCCCCACCTCACTCACCAAATGCCCATGGTACAGGCCAATATGGCCAGCATCTCCCGGGATCGAAACAGGTCCAGGACAGAGGACCCTGGAGTTCCTCCTACCTCTTCCTCGGAATAGTCTGCTTCCAGCATCTATGGGGAAGAGAAAAGGGTCTCGGGCCTGGATCCAGGGGGCTCTGGTGGGCAAAGCTTGGAGCTAGGTGAGGGTGCAGCCAGCCCCTTCCCTTGCACCTCCTCACCTCCAGGGAGAGCTGGACCCTGGCTGCTGGAACCCCATTGATCCATGACACCAGCTTCAAGGACCGCAAGGCCCCAGAAAAGCGCTTCCTCACCATCAGCCACCGGACAGATTCTGGGAGCCACCTACAGAGTCAGAGGTCAGCTCACAGCCTGACCGGGCCTGCTCCCACACCCTGGAGCCCAGCAGCCTGAAGAGCAGTCTTCCCGTCGCCCTCCCCATGGCGAGGGGCTGGGCCCAGTCCCGCACGGCGCTCACCAACTACAGAGGAAGCAGAGGGCATAGGGTGCCCCGGCAGCCAGCTGCAGGTGCCTCCAGTGCCGGAGGCCAAAGGCCAGAATGACCAGATTCAGCTGCCCCAGGCTGAGCACAAAGGAAAGGAAGCCAGATACCATGGCTCGGTGAGACGGCGTCGTCCACTCCAGAACTGCGGAGAGAGAGGGCTTCATCTCACAGTGCTGACCCTTCCTGCTAGGCCTACTGCCCCCCAGCCCTTCCTCCCAGCAGACCCACCTCTGCAAGGGGGCACTTTGCTTTCGTGGCGTTGGGGTGAAGGGGCAGTCACTCAGCAAGCGGGGGAGGGAAGGGATGATCAGGGGGCATGGCATGTCAGAGATGGGGGGTGCCTGGCAGCCCTTGGGTCACCTGCTACTCCATTCCAGGGAGTGGCTGAAAGAAAGCCTGCCGCCCTGCCGCCTGTCCTCCCATTCAGCCTGGAGACTCTGCCTGGGTCAGAGCCTCTGGGGGACCCCTCAGTTCCTCCGGGCCAGCTGCCCCCCTCCACTCACCAAGTCCCATTCCATTGAGCACCAACCCAGACATGCCAGAGCCAGTCAGGCAGCGGCAGATACAGTAGATGGAGAAGGAGGGAGCCAGGGCTGCCCCCGTGTTCAGGGAAGCCGTCTGGAAGAGGCACCAGAGGAATATGGTCCGGCGGCCCAGCCTGGGGGGGGGCAGGGGCCAGGTCAAGGGTGGCCTGCGCTGGGGCAGCCCCACCAGAGCCCAGAACTGGGAAGACGGGGAGAGCTCCCCCTCAGGTTAGACTTGGGCACACCCAAGTCACAGACGAAGGGGTTCGTCTGGCTGCCGGCTCTAGCAGGGGCCTCAGCTACCTGAGCAGAAATCCTCACCCCTCCACCCCCGTCTCTGAGAAGGGCTTCTTCAGCCTTTGCTGGCTGGTCCTGGGGATGATAAATCTTGGCATGCCCCTGGAGCGTCCAGTCCACTCTGGAACCACTCCCAATCCACCCTCGGCCCCAGGGGTGCCGGCCAGGCAGGGCGGCTGCGATGCTTACCTATCAGCCAGTCCCCCAAACACAATGGCGCCCAGGAACACTCCTGCCATGTAAATCGACTGGGCCACCCCTTGGAGGCTTTTCAGGCTGCAGACCAGATCCCACTGTTGGGAGAGTGGGAGCATCTGTGCCCATGTAGGTAGATTGGGGGTGAGGGAAGTGGTGGGGAGGAGAGCTGAGCTGGGCAGGCTCGGCCACCGGGCACCTTGGGGAGCTCACAACACATCTCTGAGCCTCAGTTTACCCCTCTGCACTTTCCAGGGCCATTGTGGGGATCATGGCTGTAAAAGAGTTCTTGGTGGGGTGTAAGGCACTGGTTACATGCCTGGGAAAGCAGCAGCCCAGGAGAATCAGGAGGGAGGGGAAAATGGAGTCTAAAGGTCGAGGCCCTGGAGGGGCCCCCTCTAGGGATAAGGAGGCCGGAACAGAGAACCATGGCCTCCTCCTCCTCCTCCTCCTCCTCCCTGCATCTGACTGTCACCTGCTGCTCAGAAGCCTTGGGGGGGCTTGCTGCCAACTTTCCCAATCTTCCTCCAGCAGACCTCCCCTGGAAGTTTGCCCTCCCTCCCAGGGGCTTATCAGGTAACATTGTTTCATTAAAGATCTCTTCGTTGGCATGTTGGCTCCCTAGACTGGAAGTTCCAGAAAGGCAGTGACTTTGACTAGTCTTCCCTATCTCTCTGCCGGCCTCGGGCTGTGCACACAACACCGCGAGTGCTTAGTAAATGTTCGATGGATGAATGAAGTTGCATTTATTAAGCACTTACTGTGTACCAAATACACTCCCACCTCTGTGCTTTTGCATTGTCTATCCCCCATGCCTGGAATGCCTTCCCACGTCACCTTTACTGATCAGAATCCCTTGTTTTCTTCAAGACTGCTCAAGAAACGGCTTCCACCTAAAGCCGTGTGTGTGTGTGTGTGTGTGTGTGTGTGTGTGTACGTGCAATCTTCGCTTTGTATCTGGAAGGCCATTGAATCCACTACCATCACCATGTTGGAGATGAGGAAACTAAAGCACAAAAGTTAAGTGACTTGCTGAGGGTCAGACAACGAATAAGTGCCTTAGACAGGATTTGAACCCAGGTCCTTCTGACCTCAAGTCCAGTCCTCTATATACTCCATCATGGTTGAAGACCAGCTTCTTAACAGGGACGAGTGCTGCAATTTTGCGAACTTTTTGCATCCCCAGTATATACAGCTCAGTATCTGGTATACAGTAGAAACTTAATAAATGCTTGTTGATCAATTACTACCTTGTGACCTCGGGCAATCATTTCACCTCCCTGGGCCTCGGTTTCCTCATCTGTAAAATGATGGGGACCTCAGAGGTCCCTTCTACTTTAGGTCTAGGGTTTCACAAATGATTGGTTCTACTTGGCATTCAAGGCCCTCTATAGTCTGGCCCCTACCCATTATTCCTGACTTATTTCACGGTGCTCCCCTGCCCCTCACTTTAGGATTCAGAAGACCCCATGACCCTCCCTCACAGTCCTTCCCACTCCCTCCCATAACCAGTTTAGCACAGTGCCTGGCACATTGTAGGCACTTTGCCTGAAATGCTCGCATCCTTTTCCCACACTGAAATCCTATCTCTCCCTCAAGGTCTGTCTCTTCCAGGAAGGCTGCCACACTGACCCTGCAGGCCAGAAGGGCCTTCTCCCTCCTTAAACTCCCACAATACCTTGTTTCTTTATCAGGTTGTTTCCCCAAACATTTCTCGTACTCTTACTAGAGTGTAAGCTGTAGGAGGACAGGACCTTTTTGTGACCTTCAAAGCCCTAGGCACAGGGCCTCACACACACAGGAAGATCTGAGTTCAAATCCTGTCTCATACACTTTCTAGCTGCGTGACCCTTGGCAAATCACTTACCCCTTTGAGCCTCAACTTCCTTATCTGCACAATGGGGAAAATAATAGCACTCCCTCCCAGGGTTGTCACGAGGTTCCAGTGAGATAGCATGTGTGGAGCACACAGAAAAGCTAGTCATCATCATCATCATCATCATCATCACCCCGTTGGTACCTCAGTAACGATGGTGCTCTGAATGGTGGTGAGGTTGTACACCCAGCCCTCTACACAGGTCTCGGTCTCATTGGTAGCATTGCCTCGGAAACGATGGCACCTGTCTGGCTGTCCCTGGGCATCCAACGGCCACAGGTTGCCGGGGCTTCTGCAGTGGTGGTCAGGAATGGAGGCTGTGAAGTTCTGCAGAAAACTATGGGTGCTCACAAAGGCAAAAGACACAGACACGATGGCCACGTGGACCACCTGGAAGTGCCCCCATCCTCCCACCCGCTCCAGCAGGCCCCCCAGCCCCTTTGCCTTCCTCCTTGGCCCCCCTTCCTCTCCCAGGCCCCTGCCCTTGCCCATGCCCTGCCGGCCCACAAGCCACCCTCCTCGGAACTGACCACACTGTAACTTAGGGGGAGCAATGTCCAGTTCATTCGACTGAGACACGCTGAGGTGCTGGAGCATGGCATGCTGAAAGGTCAGGAAGGGCAAAGGTCACGAGATGTTGGTATCTGGGGTGTGGGGCATGGAAGGAGAGGGGCCAGAAACAGAGGATGGAGAGTCTGATACAAGGGGTGAAGAAGTCTGGGGGACAGGGCTTGGGAATGGGGGGATGCTTGGCTGTGGGCGCACAGGCTGGAGGGCTCTGGATGCAGAGGAAACGAAAAGGCCTTTGGGGGTGCAATGCTGGGAAGGGGGCCAGGACTTGAGGAAGACCCGTGGCTAGCAGGCTCCTTGCTTCTACTAGTGTTTTGTTTGTTTTTGCAATAAGAACCCCTCCTCCCCCCTTTCTGTTGGCCCCCAGGCTGAGATCCGCATCAATTCATTTCCTCCCAGGGAGCGGGGCTGAGTCTGGCCCGGGGCGGGGTTAGTCATCCACCCTGCCATTCCAATCTGGCCCTTTAATGCTGAGACTATGATGTCACCCAAGACTGTGCAGAAGGGAGGGGGGGGGGGCTGCAGGACGCAAGCTGACTTCATTTCCCGGCAGCCTCAGGAGAACTACATCTCCCAGTGGCCCCTGGCTTGGCCAGCTCGGGTTAACGCTTTTGCCGCTGCCTTCTAAGGGAGTGAAGTTCTGTTGAGGCTGAAAAGGCCTCCCCAGCTATCCAGAATCGGAGGCTGTGGGTTCTAGGTCTCGGGAAGTCTCCTGGTAGTCTGGGCTCCCCAGTCAAACCCATCGTTCAGTCAATGAATATGTCTTTAATAGGGCACTGTACTGGGTACAGAGAGAAAGGTACCCAAGATGCTGGCTTAAAGGAGGAGTCCCTCAAGAAGCTTACTGTCCAGTGTGAGAGACACGAGATGGGCACGTCTGAGGAGATGCGTTAGAACATAACTGCTATGAAATCAGATGGAAATCATGGATAGATTTGGAGAATGTAGAGAACTCTCTCTGGGCCTCAGTTTCCTCATCTGTAAAATGAAGGGGTTGGAGTAGCTGGCCCCCGGGTGCCCTCCGAGCTTGGGGCAGGGCCTTGAAGGACAGCTCAGGCTCCCCAGCTAGGCACTCAGGACACAGACCTTCTGGTCCCTTCTCGTTCCGGCCCCTGCCTAGCCTCCAGGGCCCTGCTAGTCGCTTGGTAATCGGATTTAGAGCTGGAAGCAGGGGCTTTAGGGACTTTCTGGACCACCTCCTCCTTTTCCAGAGGGGAAACTCGGCAAGGGGCAGGGCAGATGACCCGACGGGATCCCAAAAGCCATAGCAACCTCAACAGAGACCCACAGTTCAATGCTTTTTACAAATGAGGAAACTGAGTCCCAGAGAAGGGAAGGAGCTTGCCTCACCCGGGTGGCAGGTAGAGTAGAGTAAGGATTTGATTTCAAGCCCCTCACTCCAAAGTCAATACTGCGTCTGCCCCGCGTCTCTCGTCTCTCCATCTGTCAAATGATGGAGCTGGACCAGACGATCTCCAAGCGCCGGCGGGTACTTGCTGCTGAGCGGGGATTCCCGGCGCCTTTAAGCCGAGCAGGACTACATTTCCCGGGCCGCCCGGGCCGCGATGACGCAGCCCCCTCCCCCTCTCCCCCTCCCCCGCGGGGAGGCGCAGGGCGGGCGGGGGGAGGTGACTTGATGTCATTCTGAGCAGCTGGGGCGGCCGGTGCAGGCAGGCGGAGCGCACGGAGCTCCCGGCCCCCTCCCCGCCGCCCGCCAGCGCCCCCCAGAGCCGGGAGCGGGGCCCCCCCCTCAGTCGCAGGGGCCACACGGGGAAGGGGGGACCGGCAGCAGCTCCGGCAGGGCGCTCCTTCCTCTCCCTCCCTGCGATTGCTCCCCAGGACCCAGGCGCTCGGAGCTCCCCGCACGCACCCCGAGCCCGGGCTCAGCCCCAGCCCTGGCCCCGGCCCCGGCCCCAGCCCCGGGAGGGGGGGGTGCGTGCGGTGGGGGATGCCCCAGCGCCTTCAGGGGACCCCCCGGCCTCGGGCTTTCCCAGCTGGGGCGAACACCCAGGGGTGCTGCCTCTCCGCTCTCTGCCCCAGGCCGGAGTGGGGCCAGACCCTCGCCGTGCACCCTCGCCCCTGAGGGGGGCTCTAGCTGAGGGTCCCACCCAGCCTCAGGGGGCCCCCCACACCTGGGTGCCTGGGAGGTGAGTGAGTGGCCCTGCCTCCAGCTTTGGGGAGAGAATATGGGAGTCTTTCTCCTTACCCACACTCCGACCTCAGAGGAAGATTAACCAGTTCCCTCCCTCCTCTTTCTCTCTCTTTCTCCCCTACTCTGGCTCCCCTCCTTCCCCCTCCCCCATCTATCTTTCTGCTGCCTCGATTTCTACATCTAGGATCATTCTACCTCGACTTCCCCTCAATAAGAACTCCATAACCAGCTTCTCCCGCCCCTCCCCCAAGGGCCTGACACCTGAGGACCCCCCTCTTCTAGCTGCCCCCCAGGGACTGACTGGTTACTTGGTGGGACCCTGGGGGGGGGCAAAGGGAGTAGTACTTGTACCATAGCCCCTCCTCACCAGGCCCATACCCTGACCAGGATGGGTCAGCCAGGGGCTCCCTGCTAGCCAGGACTTTACCCAGCATCCTCTTGGCAGAGTGGGTATCTGGTGGGGGGGGCTTTGACTCCTTCCCCCCTTTGCCCCCTGACGCTGCCGCCCCTCTTAGTCACCATGGACACCAAGCTGCCCCCAGCGAGCACCCCAACCAGCCCTTCCTCCCCGGGGCTATCTCCAGTCCCCCCACCGGACAAAGTAGATGGCTTCTCTCGACGGTCCCTCCGGCGGGCCCGGCCCAGGCGCTCCCACAGCTCTTCCCAGTTCCGATACCAGAGTAACCAACAGGAGCTCACCCCCCTGCCACTGCTCAAGGGTGAGTGGGCCCTGGGACCTGGGAGGGATGCCCCAGGATCAGATGCCAGGTTCTCTCCACCTTCTTGCCGCCTGTCCCCCAGGGCTCTGCCCTGTTCTTTCTGCCCCTCTGACCCCCTTTGCTGACGCATGTTCTGTTCTGCCTGTCATCGTTGGAGGTGGGGAGCTGGTCCTGCCTCTGGGGTTACCCAATAGGGCATCCCAGCTTGGAGTAGGGTGCCTCAGCCCAGTTTGGGGATCCCCTGTGGGAGCCCCAGGCCCAGCCTTCAGATGGTTCTGCTGATGCGGGGGACAGAATGAGTCCCGCCGAGTTCTCAGCCAGTCCCTGGGCTCCTGAGATGTATGTGTGTGCCTAGCCGGGATCCCTTAGGCACATTCCTACCTTTCCAGCCCAGCCTCCTGGGAGACAGCTGAGACTGTTTACCTGGTACGGCTCCTGGCCTCATATACCAGCTTCCTGGCCTGAATGGGCTGAAGAGGAGAGAGCTAGTAACTGTAGCAGCTGCCCCCGAAAGCTGAGGATCCCGGGGGTCAGCTTTTTACTTTAAAAACCCATTCTTTTCCTGCTCAACTCCAGAGAAGGGAAAATTAGAGCGAGAGAGAGAAGCAGAGAGCTTGGCGTCTTGGCAGGGCCCTGGGAGAGCCAGGGAGCTGAGCAGGGACACAGGTGGATCGGCTGGGGCTGGGGCTGGGGCTGGGGCTGGGGCAGGGGCAGGTAAGGCCTTGGAAGACTGGCCTGGGGAGGAGACAGTAGGGCCGAGGATTTGGGGCCATCAGCCTGTCTCCCATCCACTGCTCTGGCCATGCTGCTGGAGCCCGACCCCCAGGGCTCAGGCTGGCGCCTGCTTCCCTCCTCAGACGTACCAGCCTCCGAGCTCCATGACCTGCTGAGCCGGAAGCTGGCCCAGTGTGGGGTCCTCTTCGATTTCCTGGATTGTGTGGCTGACTTGAAGGGGAAGGAGGTGAAGCGAGCAGCCCTCAATGAGCTGGTGGAGTGTGTGGGAGGCACCCGGGGCGTCCTCATTGAGCCAGTGTACCCCGATATCATCCGTATGGTAAGCAGGCCTGAGTCCCCCGGCTCCCTCCAAAGGCAGCACTTGGGGTCGGACCACTTGCCCTTGGTGGGTCACCAGACCACCGATTTAGAGCTGAAAGAGACCTTAGAATCCACTGAGTTGGGTCCCTGCATTTGACAGATGAGGAAACTGAGGCCCAGGGATTTAGGTCCAGGGACTTGTCCAGAGTCACACAGCCAGGAAGTGTCTGAAGCAGGTTCTGATCCTAGGTCTTCTAGATTCCAAGCCCAGCATTCCACTGGCCCCTAGCTAGCAGCAGTGAAGGCCAGCTTTGGAAGGGGGCCTTTCCTGAGCACCCCGACCCTTCCTCTTAGATCTCAGTGAATATCTTCCGGACGCTGCCACCCAGTGAGAATCCTGAGTTTGACCCTGAAGAGGATGAACCCAACCTAGAACCTTCCTGGCCACACCTGCAGGTACCTGGGCTGGGGCAGAGGAAAAGGATCCAAATGCTCTAGCCTGGCAGGAGAACTTGGCCCTGGGGCGCTGGGTTCAAGAACTCCATCTCCTCCCCTTGCCAGCTGGTCTACGAGTTTTTTCTACGTTTCTTGGAGAGTCCAGACTTCCAACCCTCAGTGGCCAAGAGATATGTGGATCAGAAGTTTGTGTTGATGGTGGGTGAGGCTGGAGCCCAGGGGCCTAATGCACTGAGGCCCTGGTGGGGAGGGGAGGGCTTGGGTCCAGTCCCTGGGGATCCAGATGGAGGGACCCTCGGCCAAGGGAGGGAGGGAAGGAGCGGGCCTTGAGGCTGCCTGGGGCCTCCCCTCCGCCAGCCGTGGCCCTGACCTTGGGCCCCACAGCTCCTGGAGCTGTTTGACAGCGAGGACCCCCGGGAGCGCGAGTACCTCAAAACCATCCTGCACCGGGTCTATGGCAAGTTCCTGGGCCTTCGTGCTTACATTCGAAAGCAATGTAACCATATCTTTCTTCGGTGAGTGAAAAAGCTCCCCAGACCCTGGCTGTGGAATGCAAAGAGGAGGGGGTGCAAAAGGGAGCGGGGCCGGCTGAGGGTGGGGAACCGTGCAAAGGGTGATGGGTGGAGGGGGTGAGGTGAGGGCCTCGGCTGGGGTGCAGGTCAGGGGCGGGGTTCTGGGAGGGGTGGGGTTTGAGGAGGGGCGGGGTTATGGGTAGGGCTAGACCCCCAAGTGGTGCAGAGCTCTCTGTGGGGCTGGGAAGAGCCGGGGCTCTGGCAGGTTGGCAGGGCTCAAAAGCCCCCTCTTACATCTTTCCCCTGACTCCAGGTTCATCTATGAGCTAGAGCATTTCAATGGTGTGGCTGAGCTGCTGGAGATCCTGGGGAGGTGAGCCAGACCTACAAACCGGCCAGCCGGCCTGCGGCCTGGCCGGGGCAGCTGCCTCCTCCAGGGAGCTGTCCAGCATCTAGGGGCAGGGCTGGGGCCTGAACTGCTGGGATCCTCACTCCTTCTCTTCCTCCCTTCCCTCCTTCTTCTTCCTCTTCTCTCTACTCTCTCCCCTCCTCCTCCTTTCTTCCCCCTTTCCCTCCTCCCTTCCTCTCTCCTCCTCTCCTCCCTCCCCTCTTCTCTTCCCCTCTTTCCCTCTCTCCCTACGTTCCTCCCTCCCTCCTCCCTCTTCCCTCCTCCCTCTTCCACAGCATCATCAATGGGTTTGCTTTGCCCCTGAAGACTGAGCACAAACAGTTCCTGGTGCGAGTGCTAATCCCCCTACATTCAGTCAAATCTCTCTCCAACTTCCACGCCCAGGTGAGCCTCCCCCTTCCCCCCAGTTCCTGGCCCAAGGTCCAGTCCTCACACAAACACGGAGGACTCCAGGCCTCAAAGGGCCTCAAAGACCCCCCAGCCGAGCCCCTTCATGTTACAAGTGACGTTCAGAGGACAGCGGGCCCACCCCAAAGCTAACCCGAGAGGGGGACTTGCCTGTTTGAAATTTTAGGGGAACATTGTGGGGCAGAGGAAAGGGGTTAACACTGGTCTTGCTATTTCCCAGCTGGGACGTTGGACCAGTCGTGTCTCCTTTCTGGGCCTCAGTTTCCCTGTCTGTTAAAAGGGGGGCAGCATCAATGGCCTCTGAGGTCCCTTCCAGCTCCACGTAATCCATCCCCATTTGGTATTGTGATGCCCCCTGCTCCCTGCCTCTCTCAGGGGCTGCTGGTTCATCTTGCCTTGTCCTTTTTCTCCTGCCCGTCTGTCTGTCTGTCTTCCTCTGCAGCTGGCATATTGCGTAGTACAGTTCCTGGAAAAAGATGCCACCCTGACGGAGCATGTGAGTGACCAGGGTGCCAGAGTGGCCCATCCCCTGGGGGGGGCGGTGCGGCCGGGCCTTTGCTCCCTCCCTCTGACCTCCCTCTGCCCCACAGGTGATCCGGGGATTGCTCAAATACTGGCCTAAAACCTGCACCCAGAAGGAGGTACCGGGGCGGCCACTGGAGGGGTTTGGGAGGGGGTCTGTGGGGGGAGGCTGCTGGAGGGGCTGGGGAGGGGGTCTGCGGGGGGAGGCTGCTGGAGGGGCTGGGGAGGGGAGGGGGCCATTGGAGGGGCTGGGGAGGGGGGTGTGTAGGGTGGCCTATGGAGGGGCCGGGGAGGGGAGGGAGGTGTGC